TGATCATACGCTGACAGTTTCTCAGCAATAAGGTATATGCTAGTCAAGTCCTTGAAAATATCAATGTATACAAAATTGGCTGTGTTTTACAAGCTTTACGTAATCATTATAATGACCAGGTCTGGTCAGTGATAGAAACAGCATGCGTGGTACAGAACTTCTTCTCTGTAAGTGAAAATAAAGGAATAGATTTCAACTTCTGGTCTGTGTTTAAAGTAGGGAAAAATTGGGGGTAGTTGAATAAGGGAGAAGGTGGGGGTCAGAAAAAGTGAAGCAGAGAGTTGTGTATAGAGAAGGAAGAAGACAGGATAAGATAAGGAAGGGTAAACAAGGGCAGATAACTAAGGAAAAACAGGGGCCAGATAAAGGAGGAGAAGAAGGGGCATATAAGGAAAGAAGAAGAGGGAAAGATAAAGAAAGCAGAAGAGGGGCAGATAAAGAAAGCAGAAGAGGGGCAGATAAAGAAAACAGAAGAAGGGCAGATAAAGAAAGCAGAAGAGGGGCAGATAAAGCAGAAGAGGGGCAGATAAAGAAAGCAGATAAAGAAAGCAGAAGAGGGGGCAGATAAAGAAAACAGAAGGGCAGATAAAGCAGAAGAGTGGCAGATAAAGAAAGCAGAAGAGGGGGCAGATAAAGAAAACAGAAGAAGGGCAGATAAAGAAAGCAGAAGAGGGGCAGATAAAGCAGAAGAGGGGCAGATAAAGAAAGCAGAAGAGGGGCAGATAAAGAAAACAGAAGGGCAGATAAAGCAGAAGAGTGGCAGATAAAGAAAGCAGAAGAGGGGGCAGATAAAGAAAACAGAAGAAGGGCAGATAAAGCAGAAGAGGGGCAGATAAAGAAAAATAGGGGGCAAATAAAGAAAGCAAAAGAGGGGGCAGATAAAGAAAAATAGGGGGCAGATAAAGAAAGCAGATGAGGGGCAGATAAAGAAAGCAGAAGAGGGGACTAGATAAAGAAAGCAAAAGAGGGGGCAGATAAAGAAAGCAGAAGAGGGGAGGAAAAAGAAAGCAAAAGAGGGGAAGATAAAGAAAGCAGAAGAGGGGCAGATAAAGAAAGCAGAAGGGGGGAGGGCAGATAAAGAAGGCAGAAGAGGGGGCAGATAAAGAAAGCAGAAGAGGGAAAGATAAAGAAGGCAGAAGAGGGGGCAGATAAAGAAAGCAGAAGAGGTGGTCACAGAAACAGGGGATAGATAGAGAAAGGAAAAGGAGGGGCTAGATTAAGATAGGAAGATTACTACATGGTTATAAGAAAAATAGATACTGGTTCATTAGTTCCATCAGTATAATAGAAAGCAGGGTCCCTTTTGTAAAATTACTGGTCTGTATTGGTTTACACTATAAACATACCAAGGAACCATGGTGTAAAACTCTTTTTAGCTCACACGTAATTTTTTTCCCGAAGATATCAGAGAGATACCTTGTGATGTTGTCTGAGGTATTCTGTCCCTAACACTGCTGTGCTTGTTTATATAACCAGAATTACTACATAAAGGAAAAGATTCTGTTCTGTACTCGTTAGAAATCTTGTCAATCTGTCATTTTCTATTTTTAATGTTACAATATTTCCAAAAGTGAACTGTTGTGATTTATTTTTTTCTTATTTAGGCTTGATGTACACACTAACTGTTCAATGTTTCAACCATCTCCATTGATAAAGTCAGATCTGACAAGCTGATAGATGTTATAATGCTATGGAATTGTCCAGGGAAATCCATTTCTAGATTTTTATACTCAAACAATACCTGATTGAAAGGAAATAATACGCCCTATCTTATGTTTGTAAAATGTTTCTCTTTGTTTTCAAACACTTTGATTGATGTTAGTTTAAAAATAATGCTTTTACCAATTATGATACAGCAGTCCTTTTAAGACCAAATCAATAAAAAATAATAAAACAGGGAAACAAATGTGTTTAACTTTTTGCCTGAAAATACTTCTGACAGTGATTAAATTTCACCATTGTCACTGATGGTACATTAAATCTTACTTTCAGCAAATTTTCCAAGAATATGATTTGAGAGACAAGTGATGCAGGACAGTAGGGTACAAAATAACATTGTGGGATACAAGATTTTTATTTTGGTTTAAAAATTATGGTTCATTGATTTCTTCTGTTTTGATCCTAAAATGTATCCACTGTTCTCTGTCTTTTCATACTTAGAGTCAATTTCAAATTAAGTCTTAGTTTGGTTTGTTTAACGTAACGTGGGGTTATGGAGTTTAAGAGTTTAAGTTTCCACCTGATTCAGAATAACCCTGGTATACATGGTCATGGTTTACAGATCGAAACATGTTTGAATTTATCATCTTCAATATCCTGGATAACTGGCACATTAACAGAAAGTTTACATATCATAATACTTCATAGAAACAGTTTTTGATACTTTATAGAAATGGTTTGTAATACTTTATAGAAACAGTTTGTAATACTTTATAGAAACTGTTTGTAATACTTTATAGAAACATTTCATAATACTTAGTTTGTAAAACTTTATAGAAACAGTTTGTAATACTTTATAGAAACATTTCATAATACTTAGTTTGTAATACTTTATAGAAACTGTTTGTAATACTTTATAGAAACTGTTTGTAATACTTTATAGAAACAGTTTTCAATACTTTATAGAAACAGTTTGTAATACTTTATAGAAACAGTTTGTAATACTTTATAGAAACTGTTTGTAATACTTTATAGAAACATTTCATAATACTTAGTTTGTAAAACTTTATAGAAACAGTTTGTAATACTTTATAGAAACTGTTTGTAATACTTTATAGAAACAGTTTGTAATACTTTATAGAAACAGTTTGTAATACTTTATAGAAACATTTCATAATACTTAGTTTGTAATACTTTATAGAAACTGTTTGTAATACTTTATAGAAACTGTTTGTAATACTTTATAGAAACAGTTTGCAATACTTTATAGAAACAGTTTGTAATACTTTATAGAAACAGTTTGTAATACTTTATAGAAACATTTCATAATACTTAGTTTGTAATACTTTATAGAAACTGTTTGTAATACTTTATAGAAACAGTTTGTAATACTTTATAGAAACAGTTTGTAATACTTTATAGAAACATTTCATAATACTTAGTTTGTAATACTTTATAGAAACTGTTTGTAATACTTTATAGAAACTGTTTGTAATACTTTATAGAAACAGTTTGCAATACTTTATAGAAACAGTTTGTAATACTTTATAGAAACATTTGTATAATACTTAGTTTGTAATACTTTATAGAAACAGTTTGTAATACTTTATAGAAACATTTCATAATACTTAGTTTGTAATACTTTATAGAAACAGTTTGTAATACTTTATAGAAACTGTTTGTAATACTTTATAGAAACAGTTTGTAATACTTTATAGAAACAGTTTGTAATACTTTATAGAAACATTTCATAATACTTAGTTTGTAATACTTTATAGAAACAGTTTGTAATACTTTATAGAAACATTTCATAATACTTTGTAGAAACAGTTTGTAATACTTTATAGAAACTGTTTGTAATACTTTATAGAAACAGTTTGTAATACTTTATAGAAACAGTTTGTAATACTTTATAGAAACATTTGTAATACTTAGTTTGTAATACTTTATAGAAACTGTTTGTAATACTTTATAGAAACAGTTTGTAATACTTTATAGAAACAGTTTGTAATACTTTATAGAAACAGTTTGTAATACTTTATAGAAACATTTCATAATACTTAGTTTGTAATACTTTATAGAAACAGTTTGCAATACTTTATAGAAACAGTTTGTAATACTTTATAGAAACAGTTTGTAATACTTTATAGAAACATTTCATAATACTTAGTTTGTAATACTTTATAGAAACTGTTTGTAATACTTTATAGAAACAGTTTGTAATACTTTATAGAAACAGTTTGTAATACTTTATAGAAACATTTCATAATACTTAGTTTGTAATATACTTTATAGAAAAAGTGTTTGTAATACTTTATAGAAACAGTTTGTAATAGAAACAGTTTGTAATACTTTATAGAAACTTTATAGAAACAGTTTGTAATACTTTATAGAAACTGTTTGTGATACTTTATAGAAACAGTTTATAAGGAGTCACTGTGTCTGGTACATGATACGTCAATTATGTCTTTCAAATTCTGCCACATTGGTTTCCTCCTTTTGGTGGAATTCTATTAGCCCTATTGTACCAGTTCTTACACCAGTCACACATGTTCTCACATCAGTCACACATGTTCTCACACCAGTCACACATGTTCTCACACCAGTCACACATGTTCTCACACCAGTCACACATGTTCTCACACCAGTCACACATGTTCTCACACCAGTCACACGTATTCTCACACCAGTCACACGTGTTCTCACACCAGTCACACGTGTTCTTACACCAGTCACATGTGTTCTCACACCAGTCACACCTGTTCTCACACCAGTCACACGTGTTCTCACACCAGTCACACGTGTTCTCACACCAGTCACACATGTTCTCACACCAGTCACACGTGTTCTCACACCAGTTACACGTGTTCTCACACCAGTCACACGTGTTCTCACACCAGTCACACGTGTTCTCACACCAGTCACACGTGTTCTCACACCAGTCACACGTGTTCTCACACCAGTCACACATGTTCTCACACCAGTCACACATGTTCTCACACCAGTGTTCTCACACCAGTCACACAGGTTCTCACACCAGTCACACATGTTCTCAAACCAGTCACACAGGTTCTCACACCAGTCACACGTGTTCTCACACCAGTCACACGTGTTCTCACACCAGTCACACATGTTCTCACACCAGTCACACATGTTCTCACACCAGTCACACCTGTTCTCACACCAGTTACACATGTTCTCACACCAGTCACACATGTTCTCACACCAGTCACACATGTTCTCACACCAGTCACACATGTTCTCACACCAGTCACACATGTTCTCACACCACTTACACTACGTAAAATGTACTCATGTTAACCTTTGTTCATATGTTGTAGGGTTTGATCTAAGTATACCAGGTTACCCCCGCTATTCCATCGTGCAGACGTCCCCTGAGAGATACAACCTTTATATTGTCAACACTACACTTTGGGATGATGCCACTTTTGAATGTCAGGTGCTGCCGTCACAGGGGAATCCCGCTCTTCAAGCTTCCGCCCACTTAACCATATTAGGTAAGATGTAATACATGCAGTGGTCGGTAAAAAAATTCAATTTTGAATTGTGAGTTAGAATAACCCAACAAATATTCCAAAATACTTTATTATCAGTTTGGATGGGGCTGAAAGAATATGGAGCAAACTTAACTGTAAATGTTTGTGTAGGATAATAAAATTGACTATTAATGTTAAATCAGTGTTGTAAACACAATTTTTTTTCGCTTTTGCAGTGCCTCCAGAAATGCCACAAATAATTGGCCATCCCAATGGCTCAATGATTAACATTCGACATACAGACCCAATTGTACAGTTGACATGCGAGGTGCGAAATGCTCGTCCCGCAGCAAGTATCACCTGGTACAAGAACGGGGTGGTGGTGACAGAGAATGTAGATTACAACGTGGAACAGATTCCAGATGATAAGCGTGAGAATGCCCACAACACTCTGACACTAACCCCTGACTTTCGTGTCAAGGAACACGGAGCTGTCTACACGTGTAAAGGCACAAATGAGGCCATCCGAGGCCAGTTCCTGGAGACAAGTGTCACTGTCAACGTCCAGTGTAAGTCAATGGAAATGAGAACAAACAAATGTGACGTATGCCTGTTTCGAAAGAAATCTGACTTTATTACCCACACAACTTGAATTAATGCACTGTTGCAAGCATCAATACATCGGAATTTGTTACAGCAGAAATATTCAATCAATGATAAATACAGGAACTATTTGTGTAAAATTCATAACTCTGATTCCAATTTTAAAAGGCATGACAGGTGGACAAGAGTCTTCATGTTAAGTGTTATTGTGTCACAACCAGAATATGAAGTTAAGTCGCTGTGGAGATTTTCACTCTTTGTCAAAAACTTACATTATATGTTCAATTTGAAGTTAAAAACTGATACTTTATTTTTAGTTATTTGATATATCTACTTTTTACAAATTGTTTGGTTATGTGTTTACAGTCCCGCCATCTATTCCTGAGATCACGGGGTACAGGCGAGGGCAGACAGTGCAACGAGGAGATACTTTGAATCTAGAATGTGTGTCAAGGGGAGGGAACCCTCTGGCTCAGGTCGTCTGGTTTAAAAATGATGTCAAGATTGATTTCTCCTACTCTAGTTCCAACGATCGTTCCACCAATGAGCTGTCATTTACAGTTGGGGCGTCAGATAACAACGCTGTGTATAGATGTGAGGCGACAAATGCTGCTACAGAGTACCCACTTACAGCACAAGTTCAAATCGTAGTATACTGTAAGTATGGTTCAGACACGTGTCTTTTCAGGGCTAATATGTCACACTCCTGTTCAGCACAGAATTTATATTTCTCCTCAATTTTTCGTTACAAAGACATTAAATAAAACAATTTTATTAAAGGGGCATCAATTTTCAATTAGGAGACAGTAATTCAACAGTTATGGTGAGCAGATCTAGATGAACAATTCTGTTCAACAGACACAATTGAAGAATTTTGTTCATGATAAAATTAAGAAATTTGAGCAGGATTACTAAGTCAGCGATTTGGTTGCTTAAACATTTTTGTGATGATATAAAGAGGATATTGTCTAAATAGTTTTAGGATGAGGATATTAATTGAATAGATTTGCTTGTTTCTTTTAGTTCCCCCACAAAAAGTTACAATATCTGGAAATCGCCTAGCAACAGCTGGTGAAGAAGTGGAGCTCACCTGTGAAACGGCTAATAGTAATCCGGCATCTGCTGTCACATGGTTGGTAAGAGGTCGACAGATAGCAGGGACACAAAATCATGTAGAGGAATCGGAAGATGGGGGATACATCACTAGGTCAATAATCAGAGTTACGCTGACAGATCGGGAGGACCAAATCGTATACACCTGTCAAGCCATGAATGATGGATCTTCGCAGCCAGTTACCGATACTGTCACTCTCAGTGTGTTGTGTAAGTGGGCAGGGATCATCGTTTTATCCATCTTGGCGGAAACTCTGCAGGAAGGACCCTTTTGGTCATCAATTTTTTAGGATAATTTTAGGTTTTAAAACATTTGTTGGGAACTTTTAATAAAATCTTTATAGGTATAATATCCCTGTGTTTTGTCTCAATACTACCTCTTCTCCCGGACTGCTGGTTTGATAATGAGTTCCAGGATAAATCCACTGACCTATTCTTAGGTTGAGAAATGTTGAAAAGTTTTGTAAAATTATGAATTATTGTTAGAATTTTTGCCATGAACTCAAATGTCCACTAATTTAATTAATATAGCTTATTTTACTATCAGTTGACTTTATATGTCCTATTCAAGCAGTAAATATCCAGGGAATGGATAGTTTTTGAGAAAAGCTCCATGAAATTTTAGCTGTTGAAAGGCAATGGTTTAGCAGGTGGTGGGTGGGGGTGGGGGTGGGGATGAGGGTGGGGATGGGGATGGTGAAGGAGATGTAGCTCCTTGGTACTCAGAAACATCACAGGAATGGCTCTGTAATTACAATCAATTTATTTTAGTAAATCACACAAGTCTATGCCTTAGAAGACATATGCTACAAATATTGGATCCCAAGGGAGACAATTCTCTGTAATAATTCACAGAGACTGCAGTCATAGGCAATACAGCCATTCCCATCCTGGTGATTTATTCTCGTCGTAAACACATCTGTGATCATATTACCTCCAAAGTTGGACTTGAGAAGCTTTAGAAAGAAATATTAACCATGGTATATGGCATTGTGTTTTTCCAGCTGGGTTGTGTGTTGGTTTACATGAAGTACCAAGTTCAATAATTTATTGTCTGATCAGTGTCTTGGTTATATCATGTTATGTCATTTGAGTCAGCATTGATACTCGACATGCATTCAAGTTGAATCTTTGTTTGAAATCATTTGTTTTTAAGTCCTCGCAGTTCCACAATTATTGATATAGTTTTAGCCATAAGTTATCTTGACAAAATCATAATGTGCGGAAACTGTGAACATTTGCTATGAAAAGATCGAATATCAGATTTATCAGCAACGTAAAATAGGATATGGTTCGACATGACAGATATGGGGTTCTATAATTAAGTCTTATCGTTGTACAGATACCATAGTCTCGTGGTACAAATCGGTTTGAAAACGATACCCATTTAACGGAACATAACGTGTCTGCAAGGATTGAGCAACATCTTTTTTAATAGAAACTCCAATAAAATACGAGAAAAACTAGAAAAATAATAGGCTTTTGATTAACGATCATAGTGATGGAAATGTGCTGCAGAATTATTGTTATCATGGTTCTGTTTAAGCTCTGAATTAATTACCAGACAAAACCTCATCTTCTTTATTGTTATTTAAACAAACAAAATTATTTAAATCTCTGTTAGGTTATAGGGAAATTTGTTAGGTAACTTAACCATGAATTTTCACCTTCTAACAATTTTAATAGATACATATTGACATGAAAAATCATTGGTCACATCAGGTACCAGTTATACTGAAACCTGATGATCTTTTTCTTCTTGTTTTCACAAAATCTGCATGGCATAAGATAAGCGTTGATTAACTTTGTAAACAAATACTTAATCATCCCTTTAGTTATTTGAGATATTTAAGCAAATTTGTTTATATCACAAAATTTTCATGAAGGAGAGTTGATTTTTCATAATCAGTAACATTTGTTTCTCGTCATGATCTGTAAAGTATACACTGATGTTCGGAACAATGTTAGTAAATATTCTGTTAAACATTAGAATTGTGATTGTCCATGATAACAGCCTAAAATATTATACATTATGATAAAAATTATCACCATGGTTACATATGATGTGTTCCTACAGACCCACCAGGAGCACCAGTGATTTCAGGATATGAAGAAGGTGACTTTGTGAAAGCTGGTGATGTCAAGAGGCTAACTTGCAGCTCAGCAGGGGGCAACCCAATGGCTACAATCAAATGGTTCAAAGGTCAGTGGACAAATTTTGGTTATCTCCCTTGTTAGTTGTATTTGTACTTTTAAAGGCATTAGTAACGGATATCTCTGACTCGATTGTAACTGGAACAAGGATGATAACCCCATCAATTAACGGTTTGGTATCACGCTCTGTAAAGAAACATAGGAGGAACAAGAACTTGAAATAAGATTTCTTATCTTTTTTAACTTTGTTATTTTCGTCTTCACATTTAGCTCAATTATCTTCTAAATAGAAGCGTATCCGTTTTAACATATGATCTCTTGTTTTAGTATATTGAAATAAGAGATGATGTCACAGACACTTTGAAGTGATTTTTTGGTTCTTTTTCGAACAATTTAATATAGAATTTACTTGTGGTTTTATTTGTACAGTCAAACCAGTTTACTTTTGTGACTAGTAAAACATTGATAACATTCTGTGTGTCAGATTTTGGATGATAATAATATTTAAATAAAAAATAAGTTTTCTTTTAAACAGGTAACGAATTGTTAGACTCCACTGAAAAGACACGTGGCAGTATCGTTAGTTCAGAACTTACTTTAGTCGCAGCACCTGGTGACAACAACGCCATCTATAAATGTACTGCATCCAACGAGGCGACACCAACGCCCCTTCAGGTTCTGAAGAAGTTGATCGTCTATTGTAAGTATATTTCTATAATTCCACACTGCATGAGGCCCCAAACAAGCACATTGTGTATTGTGCCGTGGCATCACTCAGAACCCTTCGACATTAACTGTGTTTTCTGTACTCAACCAGTAGAGAAGAATCTGATGGACCACAAAAACGTCATTATTTCAGGAGGTGGGGAGGGGGAGATGAAATTTAATAACTTGAAGCATTTTTTATTGAAATTTGTCCTGAACTCATTATTGAATTTGGCTTAATGAAAAAGATTTTTTTTTCTTTTTCTTTTTTTTTTTTTTTTCCTTCGATTCTTTTAATTTGTTAATCCGATATTGAAGTTGGCTTTTTCTCTCTCTCTCTTGCAAATAAAATGAAAATAAAAAAATATTAATTCTTTCAAGAAATGAGGTCATCATGGGAGATAAATGTGTAAAAACTGTAGCCATAGAGTAAATTTGTTATATCACCAAGTCTTCATTTATTGTTTGTCCCTAAAGATCAGAACATTGTCAAGTGAATTTCATCAAAAATATCGGCAGTTTATTCCATGGCGTGTTTTTCCTGATGTAGACCTTCTGTGAACTCATTGAAAGTGCTATTAACAACAAAATGCTATAATGCTCTTCATTTCAAATTATTTGTCAGAACAAAATAACACTTAATTTTTTGGGAAAATTTTTATTTAATTTCTTGCTTTCAAATCAGAATAAAAAAAAACTGCTGGAAAAAATTTAGAAATACAAGATATCAGAGTCTGGACATATGGACAAGTGTTGCTTAGTTACCAGTCCAAAGGGTTCTGAAATTGATGCTTGTATGTTGATAATTATGATATAGAATGGCAAGCAGTGACAGTGTGAGATTTGTGTTTTTGTTGTATACCATGGGAATGAGTGTACTTGTACACAATATGTTTTCATCTCACTTTAGTTTTTATACTGTTTTACTGTCAGATTCATTTCTTTTTATATTTATTACTCTTATAGGAGAGATCATAAAGATATTTATCATAGAAAATATATCATCCAATCCCTTTCCTAGAAAATGACACATGATTTAATTTCCTCCAATCACTGCGAAAGAAAATGACATGTGACTTGCTCTCATCCAATCAATGTCTAGAAAATGACTTGTAACATTGAAAATGATTGTGACATGGTTTCATCTTGAATCATCCAAACATTCTCTTTCCTCCAATTACTGTCCTTGAAAATGACATGTGACTTTTCTGATCCATTCACTATCCTAGAAAGTAATGTATGATATGGTTAAGGACAGCTGTCCATGTAGTTAATTCGGATCAGGAATTTTTTTTTTTTTTTTGTTACAATCATTGTTCCTCCTCACACAGTTGCCCCTGCCCAAGTGACACTGACAGCTGATCCATCGGAACCAAAGGCCGGTCAACGTCTCCGCCTTACATGTCTCTCCGCCTCCAGTAACCCTCCGGCAGCCATCATGTGGGTCCGAGACAATGTTTTACGACAGGGTGTGACCATCAATAAATCTCCCTCCAGCAATGGGGGGATGACCACCACAAATGTTCTGGACATCACTCCAACGGCGGCTGACCACCGCGCTGAATATCACTGTCAGGCCACCAACCTGGTGATCGGAGACAAAGTTAACGATGCAATAACACTTAGTGTACTGTGTAAGTGTAGAGTGTTTATTTTCACTAAAAACATACATAAGTGTGGAACAATAGACTAAAACTATATATGTCTTATCAGAAGTTAATAGCTAGAGAGGAGACAGTTATGTGTCTAATGGAAGATTGAAATGATGGATTTGGAAATAAAATTATTGGGATCAGTTTAGATAGATAAAGAATACATTCCATTCAAAAACATTTCACTGATAATGCAATTTAAACAGTTGTATTATAGATAATTTAAACAAATGGATAATGTAGGTCAGTGTTTTACAAGACTTCTCTTACATACATCAGAAAAGACACAATATGGTTTTGTTGATACAGAAACTCATTTATACAAAATAATTGGTAGAAATGAAAGGCTTGTTTGTTTTTACCTAAACAATCGATAACATAAGGATACAAGCATCTGTCTTGTTATAAACAAACACAATAGTTAAATAAAGTTGAAATCATCCATGTAAATATTCCTCGTCAACAATAATATAGATGGTGTTTGGTGTTCACTGTTACGTCAGACTATAGATGGTGTTGGGTGTTCACTGTTACGTCAGACTACAAATGGTGTTGGGTGTTCACTGTTACGTCAGACTACAGATGGTGTTGGGTGTTCACTGTTACGTCAGACTATAGATGGTGTTGGGTGTTCACTGTTACGTCAGACTATAGATGGTGTTGGGTGTTCACTGTTACGTCAGACTACAGATGGTGTTGGATGTTCACTGTTACGTCAGACTACAGATGGTGTTGGGTGTTCACTGTTACGTCAGACTACAGATGGTGTTGGGTGTTCACTGTTACGTCAGACTACAGATGGTGTTGGGTGTTCACTGTTACGTCAGACTAAAGATGCTGTTGGGTGTACACTGTTACATCAGACTACAGATGGTGTTGGGTGTTCACTGTTACGTCAGACTACAGATGGTGCTGGGTGTTCACTGTTACGTCCGACTATAGATGGTGTTGGGTGTTACAAACGTCAGACTACAGATGGTGCTGGGTATTAACCAGGTATAGACAGTTTTGACCCTGAGTGAGGGGTGTGTAGGATATCATTAACCAGGTATAGACAATATTGACCCTGAGTGAGGGGTGTATAGGATATTATTAACCAGGTATAGACAGTATTAACCCTGAGTGAGGGGTGTGTAGGATATCATTAACCAGGTATAGACAGTATTGACCCTGAGTGGGGGGTGTGTAGGATATCATTAACCAGGTATAGACAGTATTGACCCTGAGTGAGGGGTGTGTAGGATATCATTAACCAGGTATAGACAGTATTGACCCTGAGTGAGGGGTGTGTAGGATATTATTAACAAGGTATAGACAGTATTGACCCTGAGTGGGGGGTGTGTAGGATATTATCAACCAGGTATAGACAGTATTGACCCTGAGTGAGGGGTGTGTAGGATATCATTAACCAGGTATAGACAGTATTGACCCTGAGTGGGGGGTGTGTAGGATATTATCAACCAGGTATAGACAGTATTGACCCTGAGGGGTGTATAGGATATTAACCAACAGTATTGACCCTGAGGTGTGTATAGACAGTATTGACCCTGAGTGGGGGGTGTGTAGGATATTATCAACCAGGTATAGACAGTATTGACCCTGAGTGGGGGGTGTGTAGGATATCATTAACCAGGTATAGACAGTATTGACCCTGAGTGGGGGGTGTGTAGGATATTATCAACCAGGTATAGACAGTATTGACCCTGAGTGAGGGGTGTGTAGGAGGATATTGACCCTGATTGTGTAACAACCAGGTATAGACAGTATTGACCCTGAGTGGGGGGTGTGTAGGATATCATTAACCAGGTATAGACAGTATTGACCCTGAGTGGGGGGTGTGTAGGATATCATTAACCAGGTATAGACAGTATTGACCCTGAGTGAGGGGTGTAAAGGATATTATTAACCAGGTTTAGACAGCATTAACCCTGAGTGAGGGGTGTGTAGGATATTATTAACCAGGTATAGACCGTATTAACCCTGAGTGAGGGGTGTGTAGGATATTATTAACCAGGTATAGATAGTATTGACCCTGAGTGAGGGGTGTGTAGGATATTATTAACCAGGTATAGACAGTATTAACCCTGAGTGAGGGATGTGTAGGATATTATCAACCAGGTATAGACAGTATTGACCTGTCTCCTTCTGTCCACCAGTTGCCCCAGTGTTTGACCTGTCAATGTCTCCGGCCACCATTGAGATCACGGAAGGGGACAGTCGGTCAGTGAATCTTACGGCCACAGCCAACCCACCTATCCTCAGCTACAAGTTCTACAGGGACGGGATCAAGGTTATTGTACCAGGAGATGTCAACAGTTTTACCTTCGACAATGGGGCGCTCCAGATCACAAACGTCGAGCGAGGGGATATGGGGCAATACAGTCTTGAAGCTCGCAATGCTGAGGGCGCGTCAAATTTCAACTTCACGCTAAACGTGCTGTGTAAGTACACCTGTACTGTTCATCATAGGTTCAGTTGTGAAACATTAAATTTCTGTAAAATTTCAGCTAGAGCAGATAGATTTGTATTTCTACTTATTGTTTTTTTATACCTCAGTTCCTGTGATGTGGCTTCAGATTTATTTCTTTGTTGTTGTACTTTTCTCTCGTTTCAATAGTTTTATCTTTATCATTATGTTAATTGTTTTAATATATTTATCATTTATCGGAGGCAGTGTCCATTATTGAATAATTTGACTGATGAAAATACGGTGTCATCTCCTGAGATATCGTAATAGCAGGTATAACTAGTGTCGAATAAACTAACTAGACAAAAAAAAAAAAATGGACTGCTCCGAATGTGTTTTGGAATGTACCATAATGATTTTTAGGGTTAAAATTAACTGAAATACCCAGTCACACTTCACCGGGATTATTTGAAGTATATTAGCTAGAAAACAGAATGTGTTTTTATACATCACTTAAAATTTATAGGTAATCAGATTTTAAATAAAGCATCTTATAGAACTGGGTCACCTGTATGTTCTTCATTTAGCTACAGTTGCCATAGTGAAGTTTGCATTACAGCACTTTTTTTTAAATATTAAAAATGTGTATAAAGAAAAGTTCTTTAAGTGCTGGTAATTTGAAGATATTTTTGTCGCTATTGAATTTTGGGTCCTTAGTTAAGTATTTTATCCAATCTAATAATTTGCTCTGTCTTAGTACCCAGTGCCTGAACAATTGTTTGACAATTATAAACCCGCTCACTCCGACTCATGTTTTGCTTTAAATGTGTGGGAGGGGAGATAACTCCCATGGAAATACAGGTTAAGTTTACATGCACTTTGATATCTTATATGCATGTGCTGTCACGTCACATTTTACTTGTAAATTTATAAATCACGCAAAAACTACATATATCACAGTATACTGACATCAAATCAGAAAATGTTTTTTGCTTTGTAATTTCAGCTGTACATTTACAAGAAATTTTTTTTTTAATCATAAATAAATACATTGAGATGAATTATATATTATACAATAGCTACGTCTTAGAATCCTTTTAAATATCGGTAAAAAAATAATCTTTAAACATATGTGTGTAAAAAGCTCTATATAGGATTTAGTTGAAGATTACCTATCATGTGTTAGATATGTCGAACGGTTACCAAGGAAACCTTTTTTTTTCTTTTTGAGTCACTGCAGTGGATGTTATAATATTAAGCTTAGGTAAACAATATTTAAACAATAGATAAAGAAATGTATTATTACAGTTAAGACACTGATTTTTTTCTTTGGAATGTCTTAGTTATTGGTCCTAATGTACTGATCTTTTTTCTTAGATATTTATAGTAACAACCATGACCTTGTGTGATTTTGAAGTGTGACCTTCACCTTGAAGCTAAAGATATTAACATGGTTGGAGTAGTTTGGCTTTGTGTGTTACTATTAATAGATATACTAAGTGACTGATACCCAGGTGTCCTTTATAAGATATGGCTTGTGATCACTTGTATTTCAGAAAATTTCAAAAACTTAATTTAATCTAAATTAAAATGATGAATACAGTATTTGTTGTGTTTCAATTTCGAATTTTAAAGTTTTTTAATATCTTAGAGATTTTAACACATTCGATATTTATCCAGTGCCCAGCGAAATTTTAACTTTACGCTTTTTAAAATGTAATATAATTAATCAATTATGAATTTTTTGTTTTGTTTTTTTTTCAATGTCAGATATCTTTATTTAAAAAAAAAAAAAAAAAAAACAAGTGGGAAATGATCTTTCTCTCTATAAACAAATTCTACCTTTCTTATCTCTGTTTTTTTTAGTGGAATAACAAAACTACCATTTCACTTTGAAAACAAAATACAAATTGTTTTGAAAAAATTTTTGCCTTTCTGTCTTGTCCAGCATATTCGCATTTTCTAAACAATAACTGAACAATATGACAACAAAATTATCACCACATAATTCATCAGTAAATTAAAAAAAAATTTTTGTAGTTTTAATAAATATTTTCAGATTTTATCCATTTTCCTTGGTGATGGTACTTATTACCTAGATGTAGTGTCAGCTAGATTTCTTCAACGCTTCTTTATTTACTAATTTTCTATCTCATTATGTATTCATTATTGATATATTAAGCTAGATATGCATCAAAAATAACTCTGGGTTCAAATGATAATGGTAATGTAGGGAATCTAGTTACGATATTGCTATCATGAGCCGCGTTGTCAGTGACCTATGTCACCATGGTTACCACAGATGCTGCCTCGATCACCACGATCACCAGCCCTGTGGAGGAGGAGATAGGTGGAGCAGCCTTCTTCGAATGCATTGCTGACGCCAACCCCATCACCAACAACATGATTACGTGGTCACGAAGTGATTTTGATATGTCCAAAACAAAACAAGCTTTTGAGAACAACAAAGGTCACCTGACTGTTTATGAGTTGGAGAAGACGGACACTGGGACATTCACATGCACGGCTGATAACCAGATCGGACAACCCTCTGTGATGGAGGCCATTCTTGTTGTTAAATGTATGTGGCATTTTATGTTTCAGGAGAAAATTTTAAAATAAATCAAAATTCATGCTTATTGTTATACAGTATCAAGATTGTCTTGACCTTTGAATTTTTTAATAATGCAATATTACGAAGGTCAAATAAAGGTCACAGATGCTTTGAAGCTAAATTTTATTCAATCATACACCTGCTTTGACTAAGAATATGATTTTCACTTGCATATTTTCTGGACCTGCGATTTCTGAGTCGTAGTGTTTCATATCCAGATATAGACTTACTAACTCTGTACTATATTTATACACTAGCTTACACTGCTGTTTACTCATATACCTATAACCATCATATTTCACCTCACCATCAAGCTCACATGCGTACTCCCCGGGGAAGTTCCTGAACTCGTCCGTTCTCTGTTGATATTCAGAGAACTGGATAATCAGCACTTTGTGTGACTTTCAGAGGACACTTTGATTTTAGAGCCAATAAGCAATTGTCTTAATAGATATTCATCTATAAAGAAAAATTTTACCAAGGAAAATTAACTGGGGCCTATTTGTGAAATAAATATGAAAATTAGTAAAAGGAAGTTAAAAAGTAAGTATTATTTTATATTCCCTCTAAGTCACTTGTTCAGGGATTTCTCTGAAACATTGTTTAGATTCAAAGAAAATATCTGCAGTGATGTTTTTGAACCTTGATCGAGCTAGTTAGTAAGATGGTGATGGTTTTATACAACATGTATACCAATCTGGTACCAAATTTAGTCATCACAGGCTCTCTAGGCTTTGGAGGTAAATACTGATCACACTATATGTACAATTTTTTTACTTGTGTGTTGACCTTTGATCCCACAGTCCAGCCAATCATTGATGATTCTGCCCAGTACTCAAAGGCCGCAGGCGACCACGGGTCAACTGTCCAGCTGATCTGTCTGGCAGAGGGTGCTCCAGAGGTCACCTTCAACTGGGTCAAGGTAGCATGCTGTCATGATTGACAGATCTTGTGTATAATTTAGATAATGTAAACTGTACTGGTTTTTTGGGTTTTTTTAGTTCTATCCTCCAAACTTTTTCTCTGAAATTGGCTGTACAAAATAATTCGAACAAGGAATTTGCTGATTTTAAAACCATTAAGTCTCTGATTCTGATCACCAATGTAAAGTGTTTTCCTGGTTATAATTATCATTATTGAGTATGCTGACTCCATGTTCAGATGAGAGCTGTGTTTTGATTGGTTGTACAGTTTCCATGGATACTTTATAGCTGTTATGATTGGTTACAGAGGGATGGAGACATGTCGAGTGGTAAATACCACATAGAGTCGGATAAAGTGGACACTATCAAGTACCGCAGTGTCGTCACAATTTCTGACATCTCGGAAATGGAATATGGCACATATGTGTGTTCAGCCACCAATGAGAAGGGTCAGGACACATTTGATATATCTGTGGATGGCACCAGTAAGTATCACCTCTGTAGGTCTCTACTGATAATAAATTCACAGCGTTGTTTTAGTGAGTGAAGTCAAACAAGAGCGTCATTAAATTTAAAGTCTTATTGAGGAAACACAGATAGTTTGATTTTTTTGTGATGTCAGAGACAGGAGATGTTACTGACTCAAAAAAAATCCTTTCTAAATCTGTCACGTCCACTGCATATGATTAATCAGTATAGTTTTCATTCAGGTAAAGTGTGAAGGGTTGAAGGTTGAATTCTATTCCCGATAAGATAGGAATGACTATTTTGGTTTGTGTTTAGGTCGACCAGATCAGCCTGGTGATTTGACTTTCATAAATGCCACACATGACATGCTGACCATTTCCTGGAACCCCGGCTTTAATGGCGGCCTTCCTCAAAGGTTCAAGGTCAGATACAAGGAGAAGAATCGGCCGGGATACACACACATTGACATAACTCCCATAGACAACCGCGTAACCACAGTTTTCGTCATCAAAGGTGATCACCATAGCAACCAGTAATATTTAAGTGTGTTGTTACCATGTAAATATACATCATCGCCACTGTTACCATGTGAAAAAAAAAATACCATCATCAGAGCAATGATAATATTTAATGTACTTTTACAATGAATATAGGTTGTCACTGTAACAGTGAATTTGATTTTGAACTGTTTGCACTATAAATATATAGGTCAGATGTTGTGAATATTAACAGGTCTAAGGCGAGACACATCTTACCTTGTGGCAGTGTTGACCTCAAATGACCTTGGACCAGCTGAAGGGTCACCTCCGGAGATAGAGGTCAAGACATCAGGTAAGAAGCTGTTTGCTTTGTTGTAAATGTTAAAATTACCAGAACTTCATATGAAAAATAAAACTTAAGAAAAACTGATGGAGTTCAGCCTTGTTGAAATGTCTCTTATTTGATTACTGTGTCACTTCTCAGAACTTCTATTTATTTCTGGATCATTCTAAGGTGCAAGCACTTGTACAATATCTCTGCTCTTTATTCAAATGACTTTTACTAAACCTGTAAAATATAGATATCTCTACAATATCTCTGCTCTTTATTCAAATGACTAACTTTTACTAAGCCTGTAAGATATAGATATCTCTACAATATCTCTGCTCTTTATTCAAATGACTAACTTTTACTAAACCTGTAAAATATAGATAGTTGGACTACCTGTTATAACTTACCGTATGGTATAGTATGTTGGAATAACTTTACAGATGATGTGATGTTTATTTCAAGCTGTTAACATTATACATTATACTAGACTTAAGAAAACATTCACCCTGGGTTTGTTTCACCCTTGCTTAAAACTGTTGGTTGTCACCCTGTGTTTATTCATTCTGAAGCGCACAGAGTAAGACCAGCATTGGATAACCTTGGCTAACTCCAGTAGGAATTAAAAAGCCTGTAATACTTAAAAGTTATAAAATTCTCCATGGTCACTGGTAAGGGAATTAATTTCATTTTGTCACATTTCATTTTTGTTTCACTATTTCATCATTTCCCTTCGAGTTTGATTAAAAACAGAGAAACTTGAAATCATTCTTGAACTCTTAAATTTCATAAAACCAGAATATTTCTTTTCAGAGCAAAAAAAAAATTAATTAAATTTTAATCTTGCGATGTTTTGCTTGATTTCATAACCCGTATATTTTTTTTCAAACATTTACAAATTGAATGAACAACCTTGCTGTTGGTTTGGTTACTTGTTTAACAGGGAATCTTTTGTATTACAGCATCAGCTTTAAGTGGAGAGGCAGCTTCAACCATACAGACAAGTGATGACACACCCGTCATTATCATCCTCGTCGTCTGTGTCGTTGGCATATTTCTGCTGGCACTCAACATTGGACTCATCCTTTTCTTTGTCAGAAGGAGGAAAAAGAGGCTTGAGAGTAAGTCATCACTGTTTCTACGAGAAAATGATATTCATTATTACAACAATATTACTTAACACATGTGTGTTTGTCTCTTGAGAAAGACTGAAAATGATATTACTGTACAGAAGAAATATTCAAATTTTCAATTTTACTAAATCATTAAGCAAAAGAAAATGAATTTTTTCAATGTCATAAAACAGTCTATTTTGTTGATTTGGGGGGGGGGGGTCACAATCTCCTCACGGAAATTAAACATATTAGAAGGCTATTCGATTTAGGCAAAAATTTCTGTTTTTCGTGTAGATCTGATTTTTATTATGTAATATCATAACCATATACTCATCATCTTAACAAAGAATTTTAAACTATCCTGCCTACCTCTCCTCAATACTCCTGTACAAAGTCTCGTATAAAATTATTTCTCTGAATACAACAATTGGAAAAGCTGTGTAACAAATGCAAAGGAAGAAAGGAATGTGGCTTAGTCTGTCAAAAAGCAGCAGACATCACCACCGGAAAACAGCGGCTACTGAGAAGGGTCAAAGGACTTAGAGTCCTAACTACAGAAGTTTGGGACATAGTCAGAGTCCTAACTACAGAAGCTTGGGACATAGTCAGAGTCCTAACTACAGAAGCTTGGGACTTAGTAAGAGTCCTAACTACGGAAGTTTGGGACATAGTCAGAGTCCTAACTACAGAAGTTTGGGACATAGTCAGAGTCCTAACTACAGAAGTTTGGGACATAGTCAGAGTCCTAACTACAGAAGCTTGGGACATAGTCAGAGTCCTAACTACGGAAGTTTGGGACATAGTCAGAGTCCTAACTACAGAAGCTTGGGACATAGTCAGAGTCCTAACTACAGAAGTTTGGGACATAGTCAGAGGCCTAACTACAGAAGCTTGGGACATAGTCAGAGTCCTAACTACGGAAGTTTGGGACATAGTCAGAGTCCTAACTACGGAAGTTTGGGACATAGTCAGAGTCCTAACTACGGAAGCTTGGGACATAGTCAGGGTCCTAACTACGGAAGCTTGGGACATAGTCAGAGTCCTAACTACAGAAGTTTGATCCTATGTTGAATTTGAGCCTCGTCATCAGAATTCTTCCAGAAAGAGAGAAATAAGCTGCTTACTCTGCTTCACAGGCAAAAAGAGTCAAGATCTCATGTAGCGGGTCATGATGAACAAAGGCATTGACTGAGGTTGAGTGATAACTCAAAAAAATGCTTGAGCAAGATTGGGATTGTTGAATGACTGCTACAGGAAACCACCTGAACACATACCTTGATCAAATTAAACATCAATCATCGAAACCACTGATAATTCTTCAGTTTGGGGTGGTAGATGTCTACACAGGAAGATGATGTATTTCCGTAAGCAAGCAGGCACAATCACAAAAACCTGTGGGAGAGACTTCTCCTGATAACTTCTACACGAAAAGGTGGGACGTCTCCGGTTGGACATACATTGCCGTGAACTAAAGTTGTCAAAAAGCATTTTTTCTCGGAAAAACTGGGAGATTTTCCAGAAAAGAAAGTTAATCTGGAAACCAAGACTGCCTTGCCACATAGGAGCTGTCAGAAAGGGAAACATAACTTCTGCAGCAACCGCCACAAGATTTAACAGATGAAAAGCTTTGGTATTTATTCCATCCCAATTCAGAGACAGTACATCCAAACCCTTAAACTGCAGAAACAAAGGTCAGAAGCTAGACAAGGGGGACAACTCTCACTCCTTTGAAGTGAATAAATTACAAGACAAAAATTCGCAAAAATTATCCAACAGCTGACTGACCATTAAGAGAAGTGAATGCTATGTCTACAAGAGTTTGTACATAATGTTTGGAACTGTGGGTAGGATTATCTGAAACTCTTTGTTAAAGGTGTTACAACTGAATATGTATTCTGAAGTTATGGGAATTATTGCTTAATAAAAAAGATGATACTGTAGTTTTCAATGTGTATATATGTGTCTTGTTTCTGTTGTAGATAACAGTGACACCACCAGTCACACTAACACGATAGAGTTGTATGGCCCTACCAAGGAAACTGCCCTCTATCCTATGACTCCCTCGGACGATAGTCGTAGCTACGGCACCTACGAAAAAAATATGGATGATTTCTCTGATGACTATAAAAATTTTGAGGTATGTGACCAATTCATAGTATTAGACGTTTAAATTTAAACATGCATGGGTAAACTCTCATCTCCTCCATAAGTGCACGCATTGGTCTTGTATTTTGAAAAAAAGGAAACACCACGATAGTTACAGTAACTGTTTTGATAATCTTGTGTTATGATTTTCGTTATTGTTCTATGAAGATGTTTAATCTAAAGGAAGGTATCCCTGGTTACCATAGCAACCATTGCTGGTTACCATAGCAACTCTTTGTATATGTATGCTATGAAATCTTTCAATCATGTTGAAATTTGCACGAACTATCTGCGTATTTATCCTGGTATATTAACACCCTTTCCTTGGTTGTAAAATTGCACTCCCTATTTAACCTTTCTACCTTTCAAATTATTCTTTATCAAAATCTGAAAATAAAGAAATAAAAAAATCACATTGCTATTTTTAGATACTATTTGAAAGGAATATGTCATGATACACTGTACATAAATGTTTGCTACGTATCAAGATATTTGAAATCAAGAATTTTTTTATTTAGCAAACTTTTCGATTGAAGAACAGTTATGAAATTTAAATAACAATTTATAACAGAAACATACTGTAAACATGATATTTTTAGTGGTTATCTTAATTTTCACTTTTAAATAATTGTGCTAAAATATTATTGCACAAATTTCAGTCTTTTTTTATTGTTATTTGTTTATATAGCAGAAATGGTTGATATACAAATTCATCATCATGTCTGTTTGTCAAAAAGTGATAATGTGATATACTTTGACTGTGAAAGTCGATCATTGTAAATTTACTCTGAGTAAGTTAATAGGCACCAAAGATGTTAGTTTTTCGGAATCTCGCACTGTGTAATGGTAATGCATGCTGTTGATAAGAACGGTAGAGACATTTATGATGCATGTTGACACCAAGCCTGATCCCCTGTCCAACTAATTACGTTTCATGGTTCAAAGTCAAATCTCCAATACTGAACTCATTTGGTATCAGTCCCACGGTCTTTAGAATATAAGTAAAATGATTATGATATTACATTTGTCGGTTTAATATAACGAATTAGCTGCTATTTATTTACATTTTTCAATATTTCCGTGATTGGTCGTTTTTCTGTTAATATTTTACTTTAAGAAAGTTTACTGAGAATTTGTGAATAAACAGAGTATTTCAAAGAGGCTAAGTGTTCCTTTCACAGCACAGCGTTCATTATTCAAGGTAACAGTTAATTCCTCATGGTGGGATTTGTTTCTCAAAGTCACTGCTCTGTTTTCATGGATTAGCTTGTATTCTATATTGCTGATTGAGATAAAATCATTCCTCAAGTCTTGTGCTTTTCAGGGCAGTTATTTGTAAACAAACCTGAACTGTCCCCACCTGACCTGTTCTCTGCTGTACTCTAGTGGTATAATATTTGAGCAAAACGCGTTCGTTATCTTGAATAATAAGCGACTGTATTGTGTTAGAAAACTGAAGACCTGGTCTTGTGAAAAACTCTGGTAGTTTATAAATTCTATTAAATATCTTGAGAAATCAACAGAAAAATGAAAGAAAGTCTGATAATATAAAAACCCAAAAATGAAATTCTATCAAGTAACATGGTGCGTCCAGTCGTCAACATGGTACGTCCACTCGTCAACATGGTACGTCCACTTGTTGACGTAGTACGTCCATTCGTCAACATGATATGTCCACTTGTTGACGTAGTACGTCCACTCGTCAACATGATACATCCACTTGTTGACATAGTACATCCATTTGTCAACATGATATGTCCACTTGTTGACGTAGTACGTCATCTCGTCAACATGATACATCCACTTGTTGACGTAGTACGTCTACTCGTCAACATAGTACGTCCACTTGTCAACATAGTACGTCCAGTCGTCAACATGGTACGTCCACTCGTCAGTGTTAAATGATCTGAAGGATTTTGGTGATTGGTTTAAGTATTGGTTCAATTGTATGAAATTTTTCTAAACTGCCTGTTTCCATGGCAACAGGGTAGAGGGGTAGTGAGACCAAAGCCAGTTTGGCTACAACCACTCGTAGAAATGCCAGGACCAAGTAATCAAGACGACACGGTACATAAATCTCACCAGCAGTTGTATTTCCCATGCTTAATCAGATGTTTATGAGTTTCAATGTTATTTATTTTAAAAAGTGTTCAGTTTTGTTTCTTTAATTTTGAAGCACTCAAAGCTTACCAGGGTTGTGTTGTTGTAATGTGAAACTCTTCTGAAATAACATTAAGTTGAGCCCTTGATTAGCATCAAACTCATTAGGTTTGAATTGGTATCCATTAAGTTTTACAACAAGTATAACTTTAAATCTGGGTAGCAAACTTTGAATAAACTGATGTTTCCTCGATATTATTTCATTGTATTTTACCCTGTATAAGATCTACCATCAAGGGGATATAGGTATCAGTGCGATGTCCTTATACTATTCAGGAAGGTTTTTTTTGTGTAGTTAATCACCATGTGCACATACATGTATCGTATATATGTCAGATATGTGTTAAATTTTTAATTTCATTTTCTAGGTATCACACCAAATTTTCCTAATTCTCACATACACTGACATGCTTTCGACATAAAAAGCTTAAAGTTCAACTTTTTAAATTTAGAGGTGTCACATTTTGATATTTTTACTGTTGTTTTTTATTGAAATTTGTTTACATTTTCATTATTTGATTCTTTTGTTTGTTAAGCTTGGTCATGTCTAGCAGAACCAGGGTCCATCATTCTGATATGATCTCTTGTACTAAAAGGATACATTTTCTATCAATAAGTTCTGGTTTAACATTGATTTAATTCAGTATTTAATGTATGATCGGCATGCATCTCGGTGGCGAGAAAGACTTAATATGTTAATGGAATATCAAAAAGTAGAATTATTTTTTCAGCTAAGGCATTATCAATGTTGCCAAGGTTATCTTTTTTGGTGTTGAATAATTTTACCTGGACTGTGCATGCGGTGTACAAAAAGATTTGTCATTGTACTGATAAACAGATGTAAAAATGCTCCTATCAGTAAAGTTTAAACAAATGTTTTAAAAATAAACTTTTATCGATTTGGGAAATTCCTTTGCCTCGTTTTGACATTACCAAGGTTTCCCAAATGTCTAAGAAAATTACGCAATAACATGGCTGTTTCGATCAAATATGAGACCTGCTGTACGGAATGTGCACAATTCAATAGATTTTACCCTGGCATTGAATCTAGTTATGCTTTTGTATAGCAAGGTCCTCATTATTTTGAAAATAATTTTTGAGAAAATATTGAAAACATTCATTTAAATAAAATAAAAAAAATTTGAAAGACATTACATTTAGAAAAAAATGACTAACCATGTGCAATGTTGGAAATTATATTTTAAGTTTCCATGGACTGACCCTGTCCCATTATCAACACCATCCCTTAATATGTCTGATTCTGCTATGCATGACAAACATTTTAATTTGCATGTCCTTGTTGAATTGTTTTGCATGTTGACCTCTGTGAACTTTGTTTCTTTCCCTAACAGCATGACAGGAAAAGCATGCACAGTAGTCAGTGCACCTGTAACTGTGTACAGGTGAAGGTCAGGACCGTTTCCCGCGGCAAATGTAGTTGTCTGTCCATGGATTCCTCAGGGGTAATACTTCCTGGCATGTTTCTCACCAGCATGGTCGCAAGGGAACACAACAGTGGGACTTTGTTTATCAGGACAACATGGTTCCTTGAAAAATTCATACATTGTATTTATTCTGATTTGAGAAATAGAAATTCCTGACAAAAACTTGACTCAATTCCAGAACAGCAGTGTTTAGGAAACGAGATTTGGATGAGACGGAGTCCAGACTAACAAGGTCCCACTGTGAACAGCAACTATTCACTACCTCCATAGCTTTACATAAATCTTCAACTTAAATTTGATGTCTTATAGATTTCTCATGATCTTTGAGGGTGTCTTTCTGATAAATTTAATTTGAAACCAGCTTTGTAATAGCAATTTTGAGTTTATCTGGTTTAGGGGAACTTTTTTAGTTGAATTTTGAAATGAACCTTGTTTTGAACATTAAAACATTTTAAGATGAACTTTCCCTGTGATATCGTTACAGCAGATTGAATTGTTTGATGCGAGACCGGTGGTATTTAACCTAGGCACTTGATATACATGCATATTGCACCTATCTCTGGTCTGGCCATTTCTAAAAGAACAATACATTCTGCTTAAAAGATATTTCCCAGTTGAAGAAACTCAAAAACCAGATTGTCTGAAAACAAAAACGAAAATTTGATAATTCCTTACACTGTACGTGAAGAGATTTTTACCTTGAGACTGCAGTGGAATTCATTTAGAATGATCCTTGCTATTTCATTAATCAATCTGTCCGACTGAGAATTATTTGTCTTTGCACAGGTTAAGAATTTAAAAAAAAGAAGTTTGGAAATGGGATTTTACAGGGTTTATACCAATAGTTATCAATTTGTTGTAGTAAAGCTATGACAATACTGTTGTCTGTGTCCCCCTGACAATGGTGCAGAACTACACTCTAAACTTTATGAAATGAATGTCCTCGGTGTTAGGAATGCTTGCACTATGAGATATATACATACAAATACACATATTGTCCAATAATTGTGTTGTCAGTTAAATAAACGCTGTTGTCAGTGTTACACAGTGTAACTGTTTGTACTACACCTTACTGTGTATATCTTAAGTAATTAGAACTAAAAGAAGTTGATCTATGAAATCGGAGTAAAAACCGTTTGACTAGTCCTTAAATGTTGTAAAATAATGGAAAGGTAAACCTGTATGAGACAGCAAGATTATTGTATCAGAAGAAAGTGATTCATTCTGAAAGAGAAAGCTATCTGATAAAGGGAGATAATTCACCAGATTAAAAGTGGAATTATTACATGTATGTCACAATTAGATGATAACTTGTTTAATATATATCATTTGAAAGCGTTGTACATCTGGGTAAGAAATTTGTCTTTGTATTGACAGGATGAAGACATTAAGCGAGTTTTCCTACCTCCTCCTGGATACAGCAGTAGATCTTACACTCCAAACAAAATGGACTCCCCGAATCTAGGAAATACTCATAAATCCTTCCTGACCGACACACGACCATATTTAGACGATGAGCGACAGGCTGCTCAGTGGCAGTATGAAGGTAAGATTATAGATAAGGAGTTTCAGACAGATAGAAGTCTCAGACAGGTAAAAGTTTCAGGCAGGTAGGAGTTTCAGACAGGTAGAAGTTTCAGACAGGTAGACGTCTCAGACAGGTAGAAGTCTCAGACAGGTAGAAGTTTCAGACGGGTAAAAGTTTCAGACAGGTACAAAAGATTTCATATCATTCCATCACACGAAAATGTGCTTTGAAACCTATTTGGGATAACGAGACCAGACCTTTCAGGGTTGTGTAGGGTCGACAGTTATACTCTAGGTGACCTATTTGGGATGCCAAGACCAGACCTTTCAGGGTTGTGTAGGGGTCGACAATTATACTTTATGTGACCTATTTGGGATGACGAGACCAGACCTTTCAGGGTTGTGTAGGGGTCGACAATTATACGTTAAGTAACCTATTTGGGATGACAAGACCAGCTTATATAGGGTTATATATAGGTTATACAGTCCAAAGTCATGTACATGCAGGAAACACAAAAACTAATACAAGCTTTACTGAGGTATAACTATGTAAAAACAATAAAAACAATTTTCACAACATTCTCTATGAGCCTACCCTAAATCTGATGTTGTATGTAGCTTTCTTTATGCTGTTGACCTTTAAGTGTCTTCTTTTAGAAAATTAACCTTATCTTTGAGCTGTCACAAAATGACACCAAATTAGCTAATCCTTAGCATTCATTTAAGTCCATGAAACTATTTACAGAACACTTGTCTGTGTAACTGAATGCTTATTTTGTAAAGTTTAACTTGAGGTCACAATTATCAAGTTTAGTAGTTACATCCATGTTATGTACAAATTTAAAGGTCACTGATATTTGATGTCATATTTACTTGTAGATCCATATCGGAGTAGAAGCAAGGGCACATTTGACAGTGAATATATGAATCCACTGCAAAACGGCAATTCTCCGACTCATTTCCACGATTACAACGGCAGGCCAGAAACGAGACCCAAGGTATGTCATGATTCACCCATTGTCCTTACCGTGGACAGTGTGTGAGAAAATTTATCTATACTTGAGAGAAATTTTTTTTGTTTTTTTTTTTTTTGTTCAAGAGTGCTCAGACAGCTGTGTGCAAGAACTTGTGTGTTTGAATATGATTTTTGTATAACGTTGCAGTGTTTTAATTAACAGTATGATTTGTCTAATTGTGATGTTGACGAAAAGTTGTGTAATTAAAAGCCACAGGATTTAATTGTCATTATCAAAGGCTAGGAACACTTTCCAACAGATACATTGAAATTATCCTTTAAAGTAAATTTTTGAAAAATAACACAAAAAATACATATTAAACATTCTCTAACTTGAAGTGCGCAATTCTGACCTAGAAAAGGAACAATCTGTATGAATTATGTACAAAAAGATGTGTTCAAAAAATATAGCTAGTGTGCGATGTGTTCCAGAAACGGTACTACAACTACAATCCTTAGTGCCCAGATATACTGTTATATCTGATCAGGACACAGGTAATTTAGTACCTCGTCCAAATAAGTCGGTCATTTTCAACCAAAAGTACCTACCCTGTTTTTATACAAGAACCCAGCTTTCCTGTTACATGTACCGAGTGAATCTCTGCCTTTTGTGTGGTTTGAGTTTTGCTGCCTTCATCTCGCTTCTGTTGTAATTCTTTTTCAAGGCTGAATAGGACAACTATGGTATCTATCATGGCTGGTAGTTTGTTTCTTTAAATGTGAAAATACCATGTTCACATTCTTATTTATCTCAAAATAATTACCAAAAAAAAAAATTTATTATCCGTATTTCAGATGACACAATATTTATTATGAAGAAGTATTAAATTAATCATTGCTATATTTTCTGAAAGATTTCAGAAGACCAAATACACACAATGTACTGCTACAATTCATCTCAAAGTGTCTCCTCAACACAGGGTTTTCCATAATTTTGTTAGTAGTAGGCTGTGTAGTGAAAGTAGGAGGCTGGCCTGCCGTGTACGTGTAGTCGTGTACGGAACATTATTACGGAACTGGATTGGTGTAGGCGGCCAAATGATCAAAGTAGCCGTCAAATTGGCCGGCGACAGGCTCTTATGGAAAACCCTGTCAACACTTTTTTAAAACGTTTCATTTTCTACCTCAGGTTTGAGCAAAGCATAAATCTGTGTCCTTGGCCTTAGTTGAAATTAAATTTAACATCTGTGTAGAATTTGAGACTGTTAGATGTTTGCTGTTGATATGTGTGACTATCATCCTCTGCTTTTCTGACCCCTCTTTGCTTTTCCGCTTTACAGAGTGTGACAGACTTCTCCGACCAACGTTCAAGTCGATCATCAAGTCGTAATGGGCTGGGGACGACCCCTCCCCCTCCCCCACCCGTCCGATCGTCGAGTAAGGGCGTGGCCAATAACTACGGTCACTCCCCAATTCCACCCCTTCCTGCCAGGAATTATGATGTGGACGACCTTCCCCCTCCTCTATATGATGATACACCACAACCTAGATATGCTCCAGCCCCAGGTAGGAATAGACAAGAACTGGGCCCCTTGTGATACAAATTGTTCTCGTCGTGACCACACAATAAAGCGTTGTCAGTTTTTGTGGCAATTCATTTTTATGTGCATTGAAAGATATGTGAGGTACTTGTGAAACAGCACATTTTTGCTGTGGTTTATCAGTAATGTGCCTGCTGCATGGCTTGTCCCTTGGTGTTGTTGTGACTCTTGACTGTACATGTGGGACATAACAGGGAAATTAGTGATTCTGAAGAAGTCAGGAATATAATTCTGTTTACTGTGTATAACTGCCTGTACATTATGGACTTCTGTAACAGCAGTTATGTCGCCCTGTAAGTGATGCGCCACACTAAAGTTTCCGTTATACTCTAAATCTGTTTAATTCGCTAATATTTTTCCGCATTTGTCAAGGGCTGGGCAAGTCCATGGGTATTACAGTAAGCACTTATCTATATGAACTGGTGTCTGTGTACAAAGGTATTACCAATATTTTTGAGATTTTTTATTCGTTGAAGAAATGTGAAATGCGGATTTAATTTTACTAAAATTAAGTCCCTCAACAATATTACTATAATAGATACAGCAGATCAAGTGATGGACAACTGGTTGTAATCAGCTGTTGAAAATGTAGAGAAATATTATAAAATGGCATTGATTTCTGTCTTTTTTTTATTACAGGTTCAACAGGGGGGAGATACGTGAATCCAAATGTGATAAGCAACCCCACATATGAGGGGCCCAGTGAAGGGGGCAGCATGGCCCAACGCAATCACATACCAGTAGACGATATGAGAGGAGACCTGGTATAGCAGTGATAATTTTCCCTTTGGCGTCCCTTGTGAGAGACTGGTTTTCAGCATCTGAGGGATAGTTTGTGTGAAATCAAGAAAAAAGATCTATAGATATGTTTGTTATTCCTTGTGATAGATATGAAAGAGGCCATCAAGGGATTGACCAATGACTTCAAGCACAGCCCTTGTTAAAAATATGTAAGCTGAATTGAAGGGATACCTGGTATGACCAGTAGCACATCTCCCATTGGAGCCCCTTTTGGAAGTAATGTGAGAGGCTATGCAAGGGTACTTTTTATAGAGCCATTGTTGAAAATACATCGGTGTCCATTTTGTATCATGTGATTGACTGCATCGGGTAATTTGGTATTTCGTGTGATAATTATCCTTTTGGAGCCCCATGTGGTGACAGGAAACTGGATAATTACTGATACCGAATCTTAATCTGTCGTCCTCGAGAGGAGCCATGTTTATTTAATTATGTTCAATGTACCTTTTTGAGATTAACAGAGGTCACAAATATGATATGTAGAAATTGACGTTTGAACATTTTCAAATCTCAACTACGAGACCCTGAGTTAAGGCTACAAAAACTAGCGACGATGAAGGTGGTGCTTGTTGTGAAATGATAGACATGTTTTACAGAAAGAGAAACAAAATAGACGAATACTTCTTTCAAGTTTCTCTCCTGATTGGAGTTTGGCAATATCTCAAATCGAGACAAACTGCAGTCTTTAAGTCTTGCTATGAATATATTTACCGATTGGGATTTTTTTGTTAATTCAGCATTTTGCTGATGTTTTTACACAAAATTTTCTTAAAAAGTAAGTTCTATATTAAAGAAAAAAAATATGCTGTGAGAGCTTACCAGCACAGAGTAGAGTTTGTACCAACAGGGACAATCACTTAAACACATAAAACTGTCCAATGCTAATATCACTCTCAACGAAATCCTTGTCACTTTCAGTTGCCAAATACAGTAAATCTGTATGCCTTTTCTGTGAGATTTATCTCCCTTGCGAATGAGAGTTATCTCCCTTCCAATATATTTGTCGTTGTAATGATGTTTTTGTTTTGCAAAGAGACTAATTTGCAATTAAATCTTGTTTAGGTTGATTTGGGAAGTTAAACATGTATGCATGTTAATGAGGAGAGTGTATGTGTCATGAAAGTCGATTGTGAGTTATATATATCCTTTTGTGTGTGAGAGACAAACAAGACAAATATATATAAACCAAGATATTTATGATTTTGTATATATGTGTATATATATTAAGGGATAGCAAAAATGATAAGTTCTGGGATGAAAGTCAGAGTTGGACTGAGTATCTTAAGAGTAAAGTATTAGTTTGACTATGCATTCATTAATGAGCATTCATTGGTCAATGAACCCAGTTTTATGTAAGTGAAAATTCTTTGAGCTGATCAATGGAGAAATAGTGTTACTGAATGCAAATAAAACATCAGTTTTTATTGCTTGTCGCCATACCTATACCATGCTTTAAACTGGTTGTTATTATCATACAATTCTGTACAAATTACAAGGCCATGGTTTTACTTTTTATATTTTATTTTTGTTTTCTTCTCTTTTTTCCTTCCTTGAAATACAATTGAAGATCTTGCCACTAACACAGAGGAGTGTAGATGAAATCAGTGAAAAATCATATTTAAAAAAATTAAATGCATTCTCCAGATTTTCATTTATCAAAACATTGTGAGTGAATGAACAGTAGTATGAAATAAGATTTTGATTTTAATCTAGAGATTAAAAAAAAAAAAAAGTTTTTTCTTGGGAATATCATCAGGTCCTGAAGTGTGTATGCATTGCTATTTAACAAGATAATTATCAGCAGTTGATCAACAAATCTTAATGTGATGTGAAAGATTTTAGAAATGGAAATAAAGACTATCAAGTGTTATTACTTATTAACCAAAATAGAAAACCTGAAATAGTGTGATCTCGTAAAATTTTAGGGTCCCAACCTATCATATTAACATTTTTTGCGCCTCTTCATCTGAAAAAAATAAAAGTATTGTACAATTATTATTTCCATCTGTAATAAATTGTCGAAACAGAGATATCGCATTTTGACTGAATATGCAGGGAACTGCCATGGAATACTTGTAAAAGAGTCCGATGTATATTTTGTTAGGATGACCATTTTGCTATGCCTTTGGTGCCAAATTAATTTCTTTTTGTACTTACACATGTTACAGATGAAAACATTTTCATAAAACCACATATCTTAACTCTCATTTATAACCTTTCACTGACTGTGAATATTAATATGTGTAAGCATGCATTTCGTTTTATACGTAAGTTTTATCACCGTGTCATTTTAATTCCATTTTTTGTGTTAAGAGTTTTGAAGAATTTCATAAACGATTTCACAGCATAAAAGAAATCTTTGTTTGTTTTGTAAAGAAGACATTTTTTATCTGTAAATTTTTTGTGAGAATTTATCCTCAGCCATTCACAGGGTAGCTTCTTCCTTGGATTATCTCCCCTTAATCAAGTCTCTCAACTTTGAAGCAAAGCTATGTTTGGGTAACCATTACACTAAACAGAAATTCTTAAAATTGTAGGATTGTCATCAAACTGTTGGAAAATGTAATATAATAAGGGCAAAAGTTTAATAGCTCATTTTCTCTGTGAATTATTTGAAATATAATATCATCAGAAAAGTGATAATTCTGTTTTGATCATGTTTGTTTTTTGAATGTTAATTTGTGGATTTATCTTATCTAAATCATCGATTACTTTACAACATTTAAAGGTTTTCTGAAAACCCAGCTTTAACATTAAAAAAACCTGTCTGTATCAGTTCAGTGTCATCATCTAGAACATATTTGAATTAGAGTTTATTTGAAATGTCCATGTTATCTCAGGCCATGATTAGAAATCCACCTTGTTTGTGATGACCATCTATTTCATGTGATTGGAACACCAGACGAGTGACACTTAGGTGAGTGTGGATGTGACTACACAGGACAATTATCTGTGTTAAATTCTGGTTGTGACTGCATTTGCTTAGTGCTTACTTGAAAATCATAACATTGCTTAGCTTGTAGAGTTTACTGGACTTATTTGATCATTTCAGGTTCCCCGATCGGAATACATGATAGTTTTAAAGATTTCAGTGTTTAATGCAAGTTTTTTGAAATAGATCATTTTAATCAAAATGCTGTTTAACATGTAGGCTGCCAGATAGAGGAAGGTAATTGTATACTGACCTGTAGTGATATAGAGTTTTATTCCAAGCAGTATTATGGTAATGTACAAAGACCCCTCTTGTTTCAAACATTTCAAATCTCTACTAATCTACCATTGAATTGTTTTATTTGAAACGTTCCGGTCGATTGAATCTGTTTGAGTGGACGACCACTTTTCAATGATTTCAAGTATGATCTGGTATTTACTTAGTATTGAAGAATGACTCGTGTATCAGTAGCCTTGTGTGGAATTTACCGGCCTGATAGATCTAGGAAAATAACTACCCGCGAACACTGCCTCTGTTAATTGATAGTTTGTAGAAAAATTGGTGTCCAACGCTGGATGTGATTCATCTTGGTTTGAATGCAATTCATTTTATGTTGCCATGTTGATTTGTAAGATACTTTGCTATAGATAAATATATATATTTATGTTACCGTGGAAATGTGGTGTCTTGCCAGCCATTGAGTGACAGATTGATCAAAAAAAACTCTGATGATTTCTAGATATTTCAAGTGTTTGTTTGAATGTTGTTTTGAGAAGTTGCAAACTTGGTTCATTTTCATGTTTCATATCAGAGAGAAAATAAACTTTTTTACGAATGATATTGAAAATTGTGTTCTCTTTTTATTTTGTAATTAAGCCTGGTCGACTACTCTCAATACTTTTACTAGTTCTAGAATTACAGGAGATACTACTGTTTGTTGTTTCCAATATTGATTAAAATTAATTGATGACAAAGTCAAATATCCAATTTAAAAACTAAAACTTAACTAAATCAATATTTTAATAATAATCAGGAACATCTAATACTTAATTAAATGTTTATATAAATGTTGTATGTCTTTATGTACAGGATGAAAACTTCATGCCTTATAGGAATAACACAGTGAAAATCATTTTCAAAAAATGAATTTATCACAACACTTAAGTATAATTAAGTCTTTTCACCATCTGATGAAAAGTCCTATCCCTTTTGTTGTGTTATTATTCTTTTTATTTTTCTTCCAAAATTTGTGGAGTCCAAATCTCTTAATCAGTGAGATATAGGTCTATTGTCTAATTACTTCTTTGTAGATACATATCTGAAGATGTAGGTATATAAAATGTCAACTTCCAGTTTTCGGTAGGGATCAAAGTTTAAATTAGAAATTTTCTGAGATAGACTATTACAAACTTCTTCTCAAATTCTACAAGGCCTAGAGGCAAGATATTTTATATTTGAGATGTTGAGGACATTGTCTAGTGCAAGTTTGTTACTATAAATGACCTTGACCAAAATTTTAGGTAACAGAGGTCAATTATGTTAAAATCTTCAAATAGCATTTTCTCAATTTTCAAGAGACACGTGATGAGTCTTAGGAGGCTCTGGTTATTGGCTATTAAGTTTGATAATATAAATGACCTTGGCCAACTTTCAAGGTCACAGATTTCAATTATGTCAAAATCTTTAAAAAAAACTATTTTCGCAATAATCTTGAGGCGCAAGGTAATGCAATTTTGTAGGTAGCATGCTGTGACAAATTTCTAATGAATGAATTAACCCAACTTTTTCTGAACTTCCGGTTCTGGGTAGGAGTCAAAGTTAGAAATTGTGAATTTGGGTAAAAACTTTGAAAAACTTCTTCTAAAGTTCAACATGGTATAGAGCCTTGATATGATAACTTATATAAAGAAGCTCTGGTCATTGGCTTTCAAGTTTGGTAATATAAATGACCTTGACCCATTTCCAAGGCCACAGTATTCAATTATGTCAAAATCTTCAAATATTATTTTCGCAATAACCAAGAGAGACACGATGATGAAATTATGACTGTAGCATAAAGGGATGGCCTGCTATTGAATGTATTTATAAAACCTTGTTTAAAAATTGCACTTCCGTTTCTGGATGGGGTAATTAAATGTAGCAGTAAGCAAACAGCTATACAACCATTCTTTCTTTCTTTCTTTTGGTTGTTTTTTCCTTTTTGTAACCCAGATTTGTTCAATATGAATTATAAGAAAAGTATATTTCAATAAAGCAAGCTCAGGAAAATACATTTTATCCGTAGACTTACAGTCCCTGACATGAAATGCATGTACTGTAATAATATACATTATACTGCTTTGAACAAGATATATTCCGAATTCTGCTTGTCGTATAAAAACTTGTGAACTTTGGTGCACTATGATGTTAACTTCAGTGCACAAGCTAGTGCACTCCAGTATGCACACTAGCGCACTCGGAGTTCACTCTCGATATGCACGCCAGGGCACTAGACAACAAACTTTAATTTGCTTCAAACTGTAGGTGAAAAATTTGTAGGTTTTTTTTTTATTATTGTGAAGGTATTGGACTTTTGACTTTTGTGGTGATAGACACACAGGTAAATTCTGTATAATATGACTGATAGAGATTTTGAATGAAACAACTCTCGTGAGGCTGACGAGTCACAATCCGACGGGAAAGATTCTGAAGTTGGCAGAAATGATTTGTTGTTTTCATAGTTTTGAGAATTTGAAATTAAGACATAACAATCGTTTTTACACTATTTATATAACGAAAATGAAATATTACACAAATAGTTGCAATTTGTCTGCCAATAATCTGCAAAACAATTTATGGAAAAACAGTAAATACGAAAGCCTTATACATATATATATATATTATCTTATCTGATTATAACTACTATGCTTTAGAAAAGTGCATTTTTCTACTTCGAACACACCTGAAATTTATATATCACTCCATTATTGTCAAACGAGTACTTCGGTACGACAGTTCGTGAACACATTTTCCATCTCCCTTCATCTTGCAGTTTAAGAAAGTGGTTATCAAGTTTTCCATCATAATCCTTGACATTTGATAAATACGCTTCCCGCATCGCAATGATGACGAATCCGCCTGGAAACAAAACAAGATATTTCAAGTTCAGGGTCTTGGTGTCTACAATCGTGTTGTCTTTATTATAAATTGATAATATGTCAGAAATACATACGAAAAACTGACCAACTAAATTTAAGAATGTCTCCGATCAGGATACAAAATGGAAATGTACAACTAAGGACCAAGTGGAACCGCCATAAGCAATTTAAAAATTATCCATCAAGGATTTTCTTAAGTAATGACATGCTCTAACTGATGGCTGCTTGGTTTTCGATTTTCCGAACTGAAATATGGGCAGTGCACAACTAGGGACCAATTGGAACATGCATATGGAATTTGATAATGACCCATCCAATCTTTCCTAAATAGCCATTACAAAATTTGGACTTAAAATTACAGACGGCCTACCAATTAACTTATGAAGCAGACTAATAGTTTTCCCGCACATAACTTTTTCTCCAAAAATGTTTCGTCGATTTTTTTTTATTAATATTTCAACAGATATGCTACAAAATTGTGATGATAGAGAGTTGATTACATATGTACACACAAATACTGGTGCCTGTTGATAATTACCCGGTTTGACTATCCTAATCATTTCCGCTGCTGCAGCACAAGGAATGTGACCCTCTCCCATCCCTCCTGACACCATGACGCAGGAGTACCTGTCTATAAAGTTTAAAAACAGGAGAAATAGATATATGTCACCGAGTAAAAATTATCGGTTTAGTTGATTAAAGAATATTTAAAAATCCTGTAAATAAAAAGAATTCATTGGCAGAACAAATTATCAAGAAAAAAAAATACCTATATACCATTCGTTTAAACCAGGGTAGAATATGAAGAAAAGAAAAGATTTACAAGGATCTCATTGAAAAGTACAGGGAGATTAAGACCAGGTGTTCCGGAAGAATAAGTGTCTTCTGCTTCCTCGGCGACATCCGCTAAATGTCACGTTTCCATATGCAAGAAAGGGGCAAGAGGTGGGGATGGGATCACGTGACGTGTAACCGATATTAGGAGAACAGTCAAAAGCTCGAAAATGGCGGATAATTTTCACCGCCTCGTGGTATCGTTGATATTTGTCTGATGTGACCAGGGACGACTAATTAGGACAAGGCTATGTGCTGCCGTATCTGCATACACTTTGAGACAAAAAAGTAGAAAAACAAACAGAAAAGATAGGTAAAACGTGATTTCGTTAGTCAGTACAGAAATATTTTCGTTAACTCTTAAGTACAGACTGAGTTTAAATGTTCCAAAATATCAGTCTGCTTTTGGTAAATCAGTATAGTTTACAAAAATGGATTTCAATAAGAATCATTCTTGATTTTACTCAAACTTCCCCGTCAATCTTCATCTCTCAAAACCGAAATCAAATATGAACACACAGCTGGTTAAATTCTTTTTCTGATGTCAAAGACTTTACAGAAGACATACAAGTAAATAACGTTTTTAATACATATTTAGATCTAGGTAGAGTAAATACAAACAATAAACAAACAACTGCATTAGAATGATATCAAAACGTTACACCTTAAATCTCCGGACAGAGTTCCTTTTTACAAACCCCAGAAAGGACAGCAGTAAACGTGTGTATATAGAATTTATTTCAGCCAGAAAACTTTTTAATATCCAGTGGTGGACGACACTTACCATTATCTATCGGCAGTTTGGCGTCAGACATAAACTCGCAGTATAATGTGTTATATATATTTTTGGCCCTTGCCACATCCAACATCTTCTCAGAAGGGTCAAGGCCGTCTAAATTGGTAAATCCCTCTTCATAAAGCTAAAAAATTAGAAGTATATGTTTATAAATCAACGCTGCGATATCTTGTGTCATTTAACAATTAGATTCATATTTTTATCAGCTGACGATTTCTTATAGAAACTATAAAGGCATTAGCTCTGCTCATTGGAACTATTAACATTTTTTCCTCACGTTGTTTAATGCTTTTTTTTTCTTTCGTCTGTTGTAGCAAATGTGTCCTCATAAAACTGTAGAATTGAGTGGATGATATAGCGGCGCACCTCCCGCATTTCTTTCTGTTTGGTATTTTTTCTCGATATACATGTACATATTAAACATACGGAAATTCTGATAATCATTTCGTTATTATGGTGGCTGATTCGGGACATCGTAATATCGCTTCGTTTAATGGGAAGCGAGATTGCGATATTTTTTTCTCGATATACATGTACATATTAAACATACGGTAATTCTGATAATCATTTCGTTATAATGTATGTTTTTACTTTTTTTCTGTTTACAGGTATGGAATTTTTCGCTACTATAAATAACAATAGTTTGATATGACTATAGACTGAATTTTGGTGGAAATAATTTGATCATGGAAATATATTCTAGTTACGTATATCAGGCTTATCAATAAAAAATACCTTTTCTCCTAAAAGTCCAGTTCCACACGCGACGTCTAAAATACTGATGTTTTTTCGGTCCGTTGTTGAGAGCGGGAATTCCTCCGCCAAGGCCTTGTATGCGTAAGACGGACCAAGATACCTCATTTTGATGTCCTGGAATAAAAAAAATCTGTCGGCATGAATTCTTCCTCAAGGAGGATAATGTAAGCATCAGATCCCTGGTTTTATTACATAACCATTTCTTTATCAAAACTTTCTTCATCGGTATTAGGGTACAGTGAAATGTTTTCGACGACAGTCGGAATAATCTCACGGCTTTACCCAAAAGCGTGAAATATTAGTTTAAACATATTTTATTGCCAAAATATTGCAAGAGGATTGGGCACAAGTTCCAAGAACTTAAAATCGCTCGCTCCTAAGAAATATATAGTCAACGGATTGGTTTCCATAGCTATCTTTGGTTTTTTTTTTTTTTTTTTTGGGGGGGGGGGGGGGGGGGTTTGTTTTTTTTTTTTGGTTTTTTTGGGGGGGTTTTATGGTGGTTCTTTATTTTTTTAATAAAGAGTTGCACAGCATGTTTAGGTAGCTACACAGAAGTTCATTTCACAGCTTTACGTTAACCTGATTAGACTGAATTATTTTGAAATAAGATGTTAAATCTAAAGATCAACAGGCCAAACATATAACGTAAATACTGACATCCAAGAACATCATTCTGTTTATCATTTATCTAAATTGCGTTTATAATGGTAATAAATGCCATCTAGTGGAATGTTGACTAGAAATCATAGGTACATACACTGTCGTATTGTTCAGCCCACTTTGAGTAGTAATCTGCGACCTCAGCCATACTAATACCAGGTCTGTGTGCGCCATTGTTAATTTCACTCACATGAACGCCGGGGTCGAGGTTTGGAATTGAGTTTTTCTCCTTGTCTGCAGCCATGCTGAAAATAGTACGACAAATGTGTACGTTAATGCTTCAAAGGATGGTAAAACATAGTTGAGGAGGATGTGCATCTTTGGACTTATGGTGGTTTTTCGAAAGGTAAGTGTTAAGAAATAAATTGAGACAAAACACAAATATGTTGTTCATTGGATCATAAATACTTACAATTTATTCATTTCTATTTACAAGCGGGGTACACTTTGATTTGTTCTGTGCAGTAAAACGTTATACCAAGCAATTGTGGTTTTCATTTTCATTAAATGATATTCATTTTTGTTAAGAAAAATATCAATTCGTTGTTGCTCCCCCTCCCCCCCTCTCTCTCTCTCTCTCTCTCTCTCTCTCTCTCTCTCTCTCTCTCTCTCTCTCTCTCTCTCTCTCTCTCTCTCTCTCTCTCTCTCTCTCTCTCTCTCTCTCTCTCTCTCTCTCTCTCTCTCTCTCTCTCTCTCTCTCTCTCTCTCTCTCTCTCTCTCTCTCTCTCTCTGTCTGTCTCTCGCTTTCATACATCCTTAATTAATAGGGGTTTTTTGTCATTTTTTCCGCTTATATGAAGTAACTGCGGGGGAGGCCATTGATTTTCAAAAGAAGAACGACATAAAACCGAGTATCTCTTCAACACAAAGAAAACATATCTATACACCTCAGTTCTGTGTTCTTGTTTCTGATTGGTCTAAAATAAACCTTGTGACTAAAACATACCAATCGTTCATTTGTAATAGTTTGATTCGACATTCGTATCAGTGTGTAAATGGTATGTGTCTTAAAACTTTTATATCAATTTTTTTCCGATATGGTTTTTTTAACAATATGAAGTTGGACTCGTTTTACGATTTTTGGTATGCCTGGTGGGTCTGTTGTTTATCTTGTTCTAGTTTTGGCAACTTGGTATCGCTAACTTGGATTAACCAAAGTTTTGTCCATGAAGCAGAAGACGGCTACCCTTCCGGAACGTTTGGTCTTATTTTCCGTGTATTTTTTCAGACACGTTTTTACTTTTTAAATCAGATAATGAGCTTGTTATGATCATTAGTTTGCAATCGTATAAATTAGAACAGATACCTCTTTAATGTCTATATTTACAGTTTCAATAATTAAAAAATACTAGAACAAATTTAAAACAGATTCACTATCGGTCTGAAAAATTCATTTCAAAACAGACCAAGAAAAGTCATAATTGTTCCTCTTTGAAATAAGATACTGCATTGTAGAATTTAACGGGGGGGGGGGGGGGGAAAAACACACTGGAAGCAAATTTAAAGAGTAGCGTCGTATTTTGAAAATCAACAAAACAGGGTAAAAAAGGAATACAAAAATACTGTAACAATGATGATTAATTGCTGTCTTATCATGTGACGCCGCGGAGACATGACATGTACATTCCGGCTTCACTTCGAAGTCTTATAATGGTGATCAAAATTTAATTAGTTTTAATATATTGGCAGTGCAGCGCAAATGTAAAATAAAAAAAAATAGGATTGAAAGCTACTTTTCAATATGGTATTTAGTTTGACCAATCTTCGTGTATATTTCAGAAATTCAAACATATAAGTCATCATATGAAGAGAACCTGTATGTGAATTATCTCAAAAACTACTGCTATCCCACTACAGAAAAAGAACACATTGTTATGTCCGGGAAATTCTAACGTATGATTATAATGTTGGAGGAACGCATTAATTTTCATTAGAACAAAAACATGACAAAATGATTGTAAAGTTAAAGGAATATACAGATAAGATCAAACATTATCAATAAAAAACACGTATACAACATAAACAACACATAACACATCATACGATATCAGTTTCTGACCTGCGTCCATACAACATAAACAGTACATCATGCGATATCAGTTTCTGACCTGCGTCCATACAACATAAACAGTACATTCGACATAACACAGCATACGAGATCAGTTTCTGACCTGCGTCAATGACTATCTACCATTTATACATGATTACATATAAACTTATAACCTTTATATAATTTCATACCTTATTAAGAATTTATGCACCTTGTGACGTATATTTCTGAGGTCGTGCAGGAGAGTCGTTCACCGGCGGACGTATATCACTGATGTGTATAGGAGTCGTTTACTGGCGGAGGTATATCTTATCGGTATACTATATGTATGTAAAATGTAGATATTTTCTCTTATTTCATTGGTTGTCACAACAATAAGTAATATTTTTTTTCAGTTCTCGATGATCCGCCCTCCTCGCCAATTATCGATGCGTCAACTATGTAAGAAGTGAAACACTGTAAGTGAGTCATAAGTTCATTTCTATCTCAGAATAAAATATCAACATGTTTTTTTTTTATTTTAATAGAACTTGTAGCAAGGTTCACAATCAACCTGTTTGGTAGTTGGAGTTTAATTTACAGCCAGACTACATGCTAAGACAATATCCATACTTAACATTGAATGTTGTCTTCCTACACCGCTGTGATCAGTGTAGAATGTTTCCTACCGTTGTGTTCGGTGTAGAATGTTTCCTACCGTTTTGTTCAGTGTAGAATGTTTCCTACCGTTGTGTTCAGTGTAGAATGTTTCATACCGTTGTGTTCAGTGTAGAATGTTTCCTACCGTTGTGTTCAGTGTAGAATGTTTCCTACCGTTGTGTTCAGTGTAGAATGTTTCCTACCGTTGTGTTCAGTGTAGAATGTTTCCTACCGTTGTGTTCAGTGTAGAATGTTTCCTACCGTTGTGTCCAGTGTAGAATGTTTCCTACCGCTGTGTCCAGTGTAGAATGTTTCCTACCGTTGTGTTCAGTGTAGAATGTTTCCTACCGTTGTGTTCAGTGTAGAATGTTTCCTACCGTTGTGTTCAGTGTAGAATGTTTCCTACCGTTGTGTTCAGTGTAGAATGTTTCCTACCGTTGTGTTCAGTTGTGTTCACCGTGTAGAATGTTTCCTACCGTTGTGTTCAGTGTAGAATGTTTGTTCAGTGTAGAATGTTTCATACCGTTGTGTTTTTCAGTGTAGAATGTTTCCTACCGTTGTGTTCAGTGTAGAATGTTTCCTAGTGTAGAATGTTTCCGTTGTGTTCAGTATAGTGTGTTGTGTTCAATAAGTTTCGTTGTGTTCAAACACTTGTGTTCAGTTGTGTTAGAGTGTTTCAGTGTAGAATGTTTCCTACCGTTGTGTTCAGTGTAGAATGTTTCCTACCGTTGTGTTCAGTGTAGACATCATACCATTGTGTGTTCAGTGTAGAATGTTTCATAGAACATTGTGTTCATGTGTTCAGGTGTTCAGTGTAGAGTGTTTCAAACCGTTGTGTTACGTAGAATGTATGTGTTCATAAATGTTTCCTACCGCTGTGTTCAGTGTAATTTTAATAGTTGTGTTAGTGTAGAATGTTTCAAACCGTTGTGTTCAGTGTAGAATGTTTCCTACCGTTGTCGTGTTTTCAGTTGTAGATTTAAAACACTGTTTCAACCGTTGTGTTCAGTGTGAAAGAGAGAGATGTACATTTATACCGTTGTGTTCAGTGTAGAATGTTTCCTACCGCTGTGTCCAGTGTAGAGTGTTTCATACCGTTGTGTTAAGTGTAGAATGTTTCCTACCGTTGTGTTCAGTGTAGAATGTTTCCTACCGTTGTGTTCAGTGTAGAGTGTTTCATACCGTTGTGTCCAGTGTAGAATGTTTCCTACCGTTGTGTTCAGTGTAGAATGTTTCCTACCGTTGTGTTCAGTGTAGAGTGTTTCATACCGCTGTGTCCAGTGTAGAGTGTTTCCTACCGTTGTGTTCAGTGTAGAATGTTTCATACCGTTGTGTTCAGTGTAGAATGTTTCATACCGTTGCGTTGTGTTCAGTGTAGAGTGTTTCCTACCGTTGTGTTCAGTGTAGAATGTTTCCTACCGTTGTGTTCAGTGTAGAATGTTTCATACCGTTGTGTTCAGTGTAGAATGTTTCCTAGAATGTTTCCTGCCGTTGTGTTCAGTGTAGAATGTTACCTACCGTTGTGTTCAGTGTAGAATGTTTCCTACCGCTGTGTTCAGTGTAGACTGTTTCCTACCGATGTGTTCAGTGTAGAATGTTTCCTACCGTTGTGTTCAGTGTAGAGAATTCCTTCCGTTGCGTTGTGTTCAGTGTTGATTGTTTCCTTCCGTTGTGTTCAGTGTAGAATGTTTCCTACCGTTGTGTTCATTGTAGAATGTTTCCTACCGCATACCGTTGTGTTCAGTGTAGAGTGTTTCATACCGTGTTTCATACATACGTTGTGTTAAGTGTAGAATGTTTCATACCGTTGTGTTCAGTGTAGAATGTTTCGCCCCCTGAAAATTTTCAGGGAAGCATTTTGTCGCCGCCTTGGTCGTCCGTCCGACTCTCCGTCCGTCCTTTCGTGTCCTGGACATAACTTTGACCACAGTTAGGCAAATGCAGTTGTAGTAGTAAAATGTAACACATTCAGGGCCCGCAACCTCTTAATTACAGAGTTATTGCCCTTTGTATAAATTGTTTCACAGATAGTCTTGTTATGATTTTACTAGTATTAAAACCACATCAGTTAATGTTGAAAATTGAATAATGTATTCGGATAAGTATATTTATATATGTTTTTGATAGTAACACAGTACATATACTGTCGAACCTCGTTATCTCGATATCGACTGGAGCGTGGAGGAACTTCGAGTTATCCAAGTATTTGACTTAAGTGAGTTCGAATGTTTGGCGTGAAGTTTGCACGGCACCGACAAAATACTTCAAATTCAATGGGTTTTTTTCGAGTGAAATGAGCTCGAGATAAAGAAGTTCGGCTAAATCAGGTTATATTATTCTAGAGATATTAATCCCGATTAAAACATCTTCTTCCAATTGTTATAATTCTATTTTGTGAATCTGTGTTTACTTTTTTAACTTATTGTAAACAAGTTAACATTGTTAATGAATAAGCTAATATATATATATATATATAGAAAAAACTTGATTTGACGAGATGCGAGTAAATTATAAATAAAAATGATTTTTGACAAAAGAAGAAAGACGTTACATTT